ACACACACACACACACACACGTACACAGACCTGGTTTAACTAGGCGAATCGCCTCAGGAATTGCACTGCAGGGGATGTGGCCTGGGGCAAAAGCTCCGCTGGACACTAAGACGTCATAGGTGTCTGTGGGGAAAAAGATCGTCTCAAAATGAACACGAGGCAATAGGAGACATGTGGGCTGAAACTATGGGATGTTGCGTTGCACTGGTGAATTGAATCGAAAGATCAGTTATCAATGATAGGGCTTGGAATTAAAGACCGCGCGCATCACAGAAAGCAGCTTGTTCTTCGACAGTTGTTAAGCTTATATAAGGTACCGCATCACATGAACAAATACGACAAAGGAAGTGGCGATGGATGCGACACACCCTCAGAAAGTCCAGCAGAAACACCACACGACAGTCGCTGGAGTGGAACCCACAGTGGAGCACGAGGCTGGGGTAGGCCACGGGAAACATGGAGGAGATGTGTGGAAAGGAAGTTCAGAGAGCTGAAGCCTACTTGGAGCGAGCTTGGAAGGATGGCCCAGGACAGAGATAAATGGAAGGAGCTTGCATGTGTCCTATACCCTACCAGGGGTGAAAGGCATTGATGATGACTACATGAACAGACCAATGCTAACATCACAACACCTCTACCATCACAAACACCTCTACCTGTATGGTGATAGTAGGCCTAGTTCTGTCCACGGACTTAACAGTGTGATAAGATATCTGAAACACTGTTGGGTATCAGTAAATGTCAGGCAAATACTCTCACACTAAGATCTAGTTCTGATATTTTATCTTTGGAGGGTGGAAATACTTTCTAAATTTGTCATTTTAACAGTTGCGATTTATTGAATATGATACAGTTCTGAAATACCTTGAATTATAGAAAAAAGGGTTGTTCTGGGTTTTCTCAATAACAGACTTAACGTCCCTCTCAGAATGGTAAAGTTATCAAAGAGCATTGGGAATGGAACACATTGCAAACTTGCAATATCACCAAAGTCCATAATATAAGCTCGTTTGACGAATTCAACAAGTATGGTTTAGTCCAAAGTCCGGCATAATAAGCAAATCAAAGACTTTTGCATTAACTGGTTACCGTCAGGTGCTGAAACTGGCGAATCCCCACCAATAAATTGCGTGAAAACTTTGGAGTAGAATCCCTTGCTTCCGGTAAGTTCAGCGAACTTGGGCTGTGGTTCGAGGGCGTGGAGGTTCTTGTAGCCTGACTCATTTAGCTGTGACAACGATAGAAAAGCGGAAACAAATAGTGAACGAGTCATTATCACTGTGGGGTTTTTTGGTTTGGTTTTGTATTGTTTTTTGGAAAATGTTTTTGGAGAAAGGGGGGCGAGGGGGAGCGCCAGAACCGTAAATGCCAAGGACAAAGTTGTACATCTTTAAAACAGTTGCACTACTTACTTATTTAATTAAAACAGGATGCACTGCTACAAGAATCAGTTGAAATGCATAGATAAGAAAAGGGCTCTTTTCAAAGAGCATGTACCGAATTCTACGCAAAGCTCGATGTAGAAGAAAAAACACGCTCTTTAACTTCTGCTTCATGAAAAGTTGCATTATTGCATTGTTGTGGGGTGGGAGGGGGGGGGGTACGAAACGATAGTTTTCTGCACTGATGCCATTTTGATTAAGACGAAGAGTTTGGGAGTTTTGTATGACATCTTTTTTCCCCACCACAATGGTTTTTAAAAAAATCAGAGGTCGTGGCAGCGGAACTCGAGATACGTAGTGTAGACGGTTGACGTATGTAGTACATGTACTCATGACACAGTTATGTACATGTACGAGTAGTATACATATAGGTGGCCGAGATACATAGTATGGACAGTCGAGAAACGTAGCACTGAGATACGTAGTATAAATATTCTATTAATATAATATCTTCATGAATGACTCACCACTTCCCCAACGAGTCCAGTCCCGGCCCCGATGTCCAGGAAGAGAGCATTTTTGTCCGTGACAACGCTCTGTACAGCTTTTAATAGTGCTTTCGGACCATTGTAGGCCGCTGGGTCTTTGATAACCTGAGGGAAAGTTTTCCTGGTTATGAAAGCTGATCTTGAAAATTATTAACACCCTCCTCCACCGTTTTCTTTCCTTCACAAGTTGATGCAATTCCATGGTAAGCCCAGTTTGTTCTCTCTCTCTCTCTCTCTCTCTCTCTCTCTCTCTCTCTCTCTCTCTCTCT